TTGAGAAAAGAACTGCTGTCATCAAAGCTAAGGCACCTCATGAGTCTGCAGAGGAGGACAGTGGACTCCATATTGGAAAAATATTAAGTATGAGCTATTGCCCGCATAAATCCAAATAATATGATAAGTATTGGCAGGTGAAGTGACTACCTCTTCATCAGCGCTGGTCCCTTGAGAAGCTAACGCATTAAATTACTGCTGTACAATAAAACAGAATGTTGAAATTTTCGCTTTGAAAATATGCAAACTCATATGTTGTCTGTATGAAAACTGCCTAAAAGCTGCAAAAGGAGTAGAAAAATTATGACAAAAATACTAGAAACTGCAGGGTAGTCTTTCAAAAAAACATTTCAGGTGACATTTATACATGTTAAATGCACATTTACATTTTAAAAAAAATAATTTGATATGTGAAATGTGCCTTTTAATCATTTTGTTGGGACAATAGCACAAAGGAGAAGTTACTGAGTGAGTTAGATAAAGTTATGTTATTTTTAGTCGTAAAACTCATGATTCACAAGTTTAATTTGTCTTTGTTCTGCATAAACACATGTTTTTGCATGAACATCCCTGCAGTTGTAGTCTTGTGAGTATGTACAGTTAGGATCAGATACATCGAGTTATGTAACAGCTTTGAGAGGGTTTGCCACACAGAATTTCTTCAGTCAACTACAGCCCTACAGTCAAGGTAGACTCACTTATATGAGCACAGTTTTGTACAGTTCTTTAAACTATAATGATTAGTTAAGAATGAAACCGTACAGGATTACATACATACATTACATACATCAGTGTTTCCCAAACTTTTTTTCTGGGGACCCATATTTTAAAAGATCTTTGCGACCCAAGTCAGTAGATTATAAGGTGCACTGTAAATTTTTCTGAAAATTAGGGGATTTTAAGTGTGCCTTATAGTAAAAAAAAAAAAAAAAAGGTACTGAAGTTTTAGTATTCAGTGTTTCCCACAGAAAATTGCTTAGACAAAGCGGGGGGTAGGGGGGTATGAAGATGTATGTATATGCATATCACAGATCTACATGCAGATCCTGACAAAGCTATAAGTTACATGTTTTCCTTCAGTATGACGAAAAGGAGGAAAATGGTGCTCACAATTTTAGATTTAAGTGAGTTTCATAGGTTCAGAAGATGATGATGGCCAGAAGACTGTATCTCAACTTTGTAGGATGTGTCAAATCAACGTGTGAATTGTGTAAGGAAAATGGTGCTGAGCGTGAAATGACCTAAAGAAGTTATGTATTGTTCATCTATCTTTGAACAGAATAACTCCTCAGAGAGATGAGTCACTGTGGATGAGTAACTTACGAGGCCAAGGGGCTGCACCTTTTTATAGAAAAATCTTCACACTGTGTTGTTCAAACTCGGAGTAAAACAAAGGCTTGCTCGGCTCAAACAGACACAATTGATTATGAGCATAAAGTGTCAGAAACTGAGCAAATGAGCTTTACCAAACACAGGGGCAAATTGTCACTGTGAATAATGAAACAGACTTCAGTTTCACAAAGCTTTGACGAGATTTGTTAATTTATCTTTAAACGTAACACAGAGAACACTGAGGATGACAATTTTGACAACTGTGGGAGTAACAGAAAATGAGCACCATCTTCCATCCATCAGGCGGACAGGTGCTGAAAATGAGCATTTCTCACTACAACACTTGAAATGATGCATCTGGTTCATCCAGTGAGATTGCTATGTCCATAGTCCATAGTAAGGAGTAAATATGAAATATAGAAACTAATCCTTCCTTATACATGATTTTAAGACTAGTAGGACTCTTATCACGCCATAACTTCAAAACCAACATTTAATTTTAAAGGTGAATGGTCTACTATCTGTTTTCTTTGAAGAAGAAGCAGGTCTAGGGGAGAGATGACCCCTTCGAACCTTAATGCAATATTGTGGAATATTTATTGCACCTTTAACATGACATGATAAGGAACAGTTTATGTTTTGGTGAGAAAAAAAAGTTGTTTCAATGTTTTAAACAAAAATCTGTAAAAATAATAAACACTGATTCCTACATCTCAGCATCAATATAATTCAGAAAAGTTGCTAAACTATTGCTACCTAAACAACTGTAGACCAGCCCAAACCTCTGGCCTCATTTATCACTACATTATTTGTCACACACAAAAAACAAACTCACATCACACTGTATCCCTCAAACTTGTTCAACGTTTATTTCCCTGGCTCTGAACTGCAGCCCAACTGTTTGTGCACAGGGCTTTAAAATAACTGCTCTGTGCTATCCATACACCGCCATCTGTCTATAGACCTGTATCAACACACACAGTGACAGACGCGCTGCCAAAAATGACTTTTAACTGCAGAGAGCTTCAGCTAATGTGGTGTCAGACTCCACTGACAACCTTTAATGAAACACGGCGATTCCTCTGCTTCTCTGGCTCTAATCAGAAACAAGGCAGGCCTATTAAACCTTCACAAAGTCTTTGTTCCCTAATATCTCAGGATGTGTGCATGTCACTCCTCTTAAGTCGCTGAATCCCACTTAGGCCTTCCTCGCGCTGCTATGGCGATCGCTTAAAGACCCTTCAAGAACATTTTTGCCGCTGCCAGCCCGAGTCTGAGGACAGCGTGTTCTGATGAGGCAAAGACAGTCATAATCAAGTCATGAGGAGGGAGATCAAAACCCATGTGAAAGTGCACATTAAGACTCACAAGAGTGATTAAGGGAGCAAGTAGAGAGAGGGAGGGACGGAGAGGGAGGGAAAAAGACTGAGAGAGAGAGAGAAATAGAGAGGTAGGAAGAGAGAGAGGGAGAGAGAGAAAAAGGGAGAGACACAGGGAGGGTGGTAGCGAGTAAGCGGAGAAAGAAAAAGACAGAGAGGGAGAGAGAGGGAAGGTGATAATGAGGGAGTGGGAAAGAGGGAAAAGGGATGGTGAGAAAGGGAGAGAGAGACAGAGAGAGAGCAAGAGAGTGAGAGAGGGAGGGAGTGAAAAAGAGACCACCCACAGCTGCAAAATAGATGCAAAAGAACAAGAGGCCCTCTGAGGCAGTCAACTTTAACTACAGTTTTTCTGTTCTCACAATGAAGACCAGGGCTCATTTAAACAAGATTATTATTTTTTTTTTGTATTTTGTCTTAAATTATTTAACTAATTTAGTTCCCTAATTCCACAGTAGCTACAAGATCATATAAATGTATTTAAAACTCTCAGTATTGAGTTTGTTTATGGTCTGGTTTGGAGCTCTGGGACTGAAAAGTGCAACTATTTATGAAAGTTTGTTTTTAATATTCAACAGGGACATAGCACTTTTAGTCGAGAAATAATACTTTTAATAAAAAAAAATAAAAAAAAATAAATTAAATTAAATTAAAATTAATTTAGATTTTATTTAGTTTTAGTCAGCACAAATATGATCCACTAATCTGAAGGCTGGTGGCTCGATTCCAGCTCCCAAAGATGAATGCTGTCATTGTGTCCTTGGGCAAGACACTTAACCCACCTTATCCCCAGTGTTTGCGTACACTGTGTATGACTGCGTGCGTGAATGGGTGAGTGTTTCCTCAGTTTTGAAGGTGGAAAAGCACTATAGAAAAATTTTCTAACATATCTTAAATTAACACTGATTTGGACACTGCGGTCAATAACAAACTGTAAAAAGTCATAATATAAACAACAATATTTCAAGACAAGAAAAAGACTGAACTGGAAGAAGGACAACTTAAAGTTTCTTCTGTCAAAACGAAAGTTTGTTAAGAACCTATAGCAACAATAATTAACAAGCGTGCTTTGCCTGATATATCAAATCTGCACCCAGTCTTAACAGTTTGCAGGTGGTAATAAGCTCTCTCCATGTTTCAAGAAATAATTTAACATCCAATAATGTGAATTTTCCAAAAATCTACATGCTACACATTGTTATAACTCCTTCTCACTGGACTGAATTCTGTCAGAATGCAGACCCTCCGCACTTAGCACAAACAGTCGTCGATTAGCAGCGTCTTATTCACAGGGGGCGTGGCTCTGCACAGCTAACAGCCCCAGATCTGAGACACTGGGGACAAATACCTCAGCAACTATAATTAAACCATTTTTGAGGTGCAAAAAACATGATCAGCTTTGAGGATTGAAACTTCATTAACGTGTCTGACGCTTGATCTGATAACAGAATCAAGTGGGAAAACTCTGCTATGACAATTTGATGATGATAGAAGTTAAAGGTGGTTCTTTAGACACAATTACACAAGATTCATTTTGACAAACAACTTGACAGCCATAAACTAACAATAAAATAATAAAACCTATATAATTGTTTATCAATAATAGTATTCATCAATTGCACTATGCAACTTTTTGATTGGGGACCCTTCACCTTTTTGTTTCTATATGCGATTGCTCTGCTCCAAATGTTCCACAATGACATTAAACAAAATTACCTTGCAGGCATTTTGACTTTGAGCAAGTTTTAATGCTATACTGTGAAACATTTCAGGCAAAGCAATAATATTTCCATGGAGAAAAGCAGGTGGCAGACTCTCCACCAGAGAAGCTGCACAATGTACCTTTAAAACCATGATACATTGATTATATAAAGAGCTTTTTTTGGTCCACAACATTCATTCATAGGCAGGAGAGATGACGTGTCTTGCTCAAGGACACAACTGCATGCACTGGCCAACATTCCAGTTTTAATAGGATGACTCTACGATGAGCCACTGTTCACCAAATCGACTGAAATCCAAACTAAAATGCTGAGGTTAACAAAAAGTGCAACAAAATGTATAACACCGCTACAACAAAAGAAGACAGAATTTGACAGAAAGAGAGAGAAACCAGATGAAAAAAAACTCCACAGTGTAGCTTTAATTCCCTTAGAACAAGTGGAGTTTAAAGGTGTTCGAAATAATGAGAGCCACACAGTGAGACAGAATAGCTTGCGGCGACACATAACAAGCCCTGCAGAGAGGAAGAACATATAGTTGTATTTTTTTTTTATTTATTTATTTCCTTACCGTCCGTGGAGCAGCCTGTGGATCCGTCGCTGGAGCAGTACCTCATCTCGATCCTCTGGCGTCCCACCTCGAGCAGGCCGGGGTCAGGGATGCGGGCCTTACACGTGTACCTGAAGCGCTGCTCGTAATGGCCACCGTTGTCTGAGATGTTTACGGGGGTCCAGGGTGTCCAGGGGGTGGTCTTCTTCAGCTCAGGGCACGGGAGGGTGTTGCACGACTGGTACTCCTGTAATGAAAAAATAGACAGTATACTGAAAAAGTACCCAAGTGTAATTTATAGCTATTGCTTGAAAGCCCTGTTGTTGTTGTTCGATTGTCTAAGGCCTTTGGGATGTATTGAGCATTTTTAACAGAATCAAACTTGCTCAGTCTCAACACAGGAGATAAACAAAACTCAATGCCATGATTACTGCTACTACTGCTGTATTTGGATTTATGAAGTACCTACTATGAATTACAGTGCTTAATATGTATATATAATATTCATTCACCCCTGCACTTCGCTGAAACCTCAAAACCCACAACGGTCCTGGGGATAACACACAGATACTGCCAGTCTGCCCCTATGGCCTGTCTGACCACCACCAATCACAGAGTCACTCCAAACTCAATTATTCTAGCAAGGTTGGCGAGGTGCTTTGCCCAAGAACACAATGGCAGTATGCATTAGTCAGAGCAAGGATAAAACAGAGAACCTTCAAGTTTATGGGTTACTATTTCAAGCACTTAAAAAATGTCCTCAACAAACAGACAAAAAGTATATCAAAAAAGTATAAATGAATACTTAAAGTGACCATTTTAAGCTATTTTCTGGTATAATGTTTCCTCATCAAAGACAAACCTATAAATGTGTTTTGCTTCATTCACACATGTTTAACGCATAATCCCTGCATATTTAGCCTGAGGTCTTCTCTCAAACGGAAAACACTTTGTTCCACCTTCTCATGTCATGTGGGAATAGAGGAAGTTCTCCGCTGTGTTTTTACACCTTCGTTAGAATCATTTGAAAAATTTTGCCCTAAAATTTCCATTCTTTACTGAATTAAAGGAGTAAAAGGAGCTGGTAAAGAGACAGTTCGGAATTTTGGACATAGGGCCTCATTTCCTAGTTAACCAGAAAGTTAGAGATGTGTGGAGACACTTTTTAAAATATTTCATCCAGTCCTTGTATTTGCAGAGGTCTCTGGTGCTAGGCTGTGGTCAATGGGCATAGTTATTCTGCCACTAAAAACAGTCTTACCCACTCCACAAAGCACCCGAAGCAAAACTATTATTACGCCAGACTGTCCACGTGAAAGTCTGTGCTGATAAAATAATTTTCGAAGTAAAACATACAACAGTACAACATCAACATTGTTGATCGTTGAACAGTTATCAAACTTTTCAAAGTAACGTTTTTGACCCTCAACATTCAGTGACTTAGAGTAAGATGATGAAGTCATGTCAAAACAATTAAATACAAAACCTACTTCAAAAGAAGATGAGTTATCTCATGACCGACATACGCAACGCAACTGTCAACACAAGCAAGCAGCCCCACTGACTTTTTGCCTACCAGCCACTGTGCACATGCAGAAAAGTCGGATGTAAACAAAAACGTTTTCTCGTACGCGATGCAAGGTTAGTTTTAATTCAAACATTATTCTATCCACACAGACATTTACATCGACAGTCTGGCGTAATAATAGATTTGCTTCAGGTGCTTTGTGGAGTGTTTTTAGAAACAGGATAACTATGACCACTGACATACGCTAACCTAGCACCAGTGACCTCTGTAAATACAAGGACTGGATAGAATATTTAAAAAAGTGTCTCCACATGTCTCCAACACTCTGGTTAACTAGGAAATGAGGTCCTATGTCCAAAAGTGACTCCTTCATGACATCACAAGTTGGAACAGAGCCGTTTGAGTTTTGGAGACATAGACAAACTAATAATAAAGGCTTACTCAAACAGAAACAGCTGAGAATGAAACTAAACACAACTCCAGGAAAGTTTTTGAGGAGGGAACCACATGGCTATAGAACTTTTAAGTCAGAGGAATAATTTGAAGTTATTTTGCTTCAGACTCTTGAATCAGACCATTGGACCCGCTACATGCACTGACAGCAGATGACATAGAGACAGTGTGCTCCTTCTTCTTCTGCTATAACTTCTGCTACAGTTGCTTCGGCTGCAGCTTTTCAAGGCAGGTGATTTCCTCTGTCTGGTGGGAGCAGATCAATCATTAAAGCGAGTATTAAGCACTGCGGCTCAGACAGACAGGCTTATATCCAGGCGTGATAATAAACGCAACAATGGCTTTTAAAATTCCCAGCAGCCACTATTACAAAATTAAACTGCTACTTTATGGGGGAATAAACAGTCTCTACAAAGCTTTCAACACTGCGCGGTCTTGCATGCATCTTCATCCCACTACGGACTGCTTAATGTTACAAAATGCAGTGTCTCCTATCTTTTTAAACATCAGTCCGAGCTGTTTTATTTGTTTGTTTTGAAAAGCACTCACCACATGCATAAGGAGAAGACCACTGGCACAATGCGGTACAAGGCAAACAAGCTAGCCGGAAAAGGTCATTGATCTAGTTTAATTTACAATCGAGAGAAAGGAAGGATGGATTAGTGGGGGTAAAGATTGAGTAAAAGCAAAGGACCACGAAGGCAGCCAGCTGGAAAGTTAGCAAGCGTTTTTGGTATTAGGAAGTTAGAAAAGACATAAGATAAAATATGGAGAGAGAGGGTATGTAAATCATCAATGAATAATCTGCTACAGTGATAAATGTTGAATATTTTGGCCATGTACTTGTCCGTGGAGTTATAGCTTTACCTTGAATGTTCTACAGTATGGCATTAAACTATAGCAGTTATTAAAGTACGTGTTTGACATTAATACCTTTATAGACATTGTATGATGGCATCACATAATTGTTTCCATGGAGATTAGACTACAGATTAGCTCTGTAATCAGGTGGACAAGCAGAAAAGTTACATATTGCAACTTTAAAGGTTCTATATTACACACAATTGACACTCGTGAGCTTTACATCATGTTAGAAAGTTATTACCTCATCGAAAATATACCTGAAGATGTGTTTTGTTTCATTTACAGAAGTTTGAGTAACACTTTATTATAACTCTGTCTGCATCTCCAAAGCTCAAAATAGTGGTAGTTTTGTTTTGTTTGGTAGGGATGGGAATTTCTAGGGCTGGGATGATCCAAATGAGTCTAGTAAAGGTGCATTATCAACAAAGTGAAGAACTTGCTGTATTACGACATGACCTCACAAGGTGGAACAAGTTACAAACACAGCCTAAATATGCAAGGTTTGTGTGTTAAACATGTGTGAATCAAAAAAACACAACCCCAGGTCTGTTTGTGATGAGAAAACATTATAACGTAGATCAGAAAATAGCGTAATATGGGCTCTACATAAATTCATTGCTCTGGTAATAGGAGGGAATCGCATCTTGTGTTGCTTCTTTTTCTCAATAGTCTATTTTATCACATTGTCACACTTTTATTTGTTGAAATTCTTTAGAAAATGTTAAAAGTGTCTGCACAGAACCTTAGCTCCGAGAAGCCTCTTCTTAGAGCCTTATTTTCAGAAACCAACATATTTCACGACACAATTGAAAACCCCATAATAGTGGAGTATTAGGCATCCCGGTGCTTTTTTGTGTCTGGGATCTAGACTTGAGAGTAAATGATATAGAGAGAAGGAGGTGCGCGCGCTGCCATTTTCTGCCACTACTTGTTTATTTATGCTGAATGGAGCTTTGAGTGAGAGCCAGACCTTGACAAAATAAGATAAGAGTTCTTTTCTGCACATCCGTCAGCCTGTCAACGCACACATCTTCTCAGGTCAATGCTGGAGTGCTATACATTATACAGTACACGGCCATTTTTCACCTCCTCCATGCTCTCTCTCTCCCCATCTATCTCTGTATCTTTTATTTCTAGCTTGATGCCAGTCTCTCTCTCCTTCTTTATGTCCCCAGCTGCATTGCTGGTTGTGTCGTCTCTGGGTATAAGGTTAAATACACAGGGAGGATTTAGATTCTGTTAGGCCAGTGTGATGAATGGAACTGTCAGCTCCGCACCACTTCCTGCCTCTCCCCGTCCAGCCCCGTAATCATCCGCGGACATTAATATTTAACAGCACTGCGCCAATGTATGCCCGTCCGCGTGGCCATTTTAATCAGAGATGGCTAGCTGAAAATATATCATGTAAAAATATTGTAAAAGCATGAGGGGAAAGGTGGCATTGTGGTTGGTGTTATTTTAATCACGAGAAGGTTCTGGGTTCAAGTCTCGGATAATCTGGGGACTTTTTGGGCTGAGTTTGCTCAGTTTTGTCAGTTTCTTTCTTGCGATTCGATTTGTGTCAAAACTGAAGAAGTTACTTGGGTGAGTAGTGAATGAATTCACTCTGTAAAACTTGCCCAGTTGACAAAATGTACTATTCTTTTTTGCTATTTGCTCTTTCATTGTAAAATATGCACATAAAGTCTGCATCTATAGCATAGTACTCCTGAAAGTGAATTTGTGATTTGGAAATGGCATTACTGGCATTACAAACTTATCCCCATGGTGACAAGCTGATGACAATATGTTTTAACACCTCAAATTGTAAAAAAGAAAGATAAATATATATGGAGTATTGCTGGCAACTCCATAAAGAGAATTTGGCGATCCTGTCCACACCTCAGGAAAGTTCTATAATGCACCTTTAAATAAAACAGTATGCTCCATAGTGCTAAAATTATTCTAAAAACGTACGCAGAGACATCAAAGTGCTCTTATCAGAAACCACGAAAGGATCAAAGTTAATAAGAAGAGTACTAACATCCACCATCGTCTGTTGTTGAGTTGTAGACACTGGCCAAACTGTAAATATTTAATGAGTAGTGGCTAGCATTTCAGCCTGAACTGTCTGCGTTGCTGCTAAGGAGATAATAACGTGTTTTAATGTGACCCCTCCACAGACACACGCAGTAAAGTGGTCACGCTCAGTCAACACCAGGGGAAAGCTTTTGTGTTAATGCCCTAGACTTTGAAAATGGCTGCTTCTTCAGATTCAAATGAGCACATCAAAGCAGTGACAAAAACCATCTAAAAATCTGCGGCTGAAAATGCACTTGGGGATTTCAAATAGCTTTTCCAATGACGCAGTAAATTGGTATTTTTACAACTTCATACTGTTTTGACACCATTTAATTATTTAA